AAAAGAAAAAAAAAAAAAAAAGGACGAAAAGAAAAAAAAACGAAACGAAACGAAATAAGCCTATATTATATTATTATTTATTTTTTATATTTTTTACTTTTTTTTTTCTTTTTACTAAAAAAAGATATAAAATTATAATATGGAAAATAAAAAGTTCATAGTTAAAAAGTGATGAATGATGGATAGTGATAGGTGTGTGAAAAGAGTATTTACATGCGAGTAACTCGTAAGAGTTTATCGTTATGAATCTTGAATTATACAATTAATTGAACTAAGTGTAAATGTAAGATTTATCGACGCCTTCACAAATTGATATGTGATTATTAATAAAGCACAGCTCTACAATAGGCGACGACAATGTAAGTAATCACTGAAGTCAATATAAGAGCGTTCCAAATACATCGTCTACCCCATGTTTTTGTTGCTTGATCCTTCCCAAATATGCTATAGACAATTCCGATATACCAAAGCGGCCATATTAAAAAACCGAAAATATAGAACTTTTTCGTAATTGGCCAAGGTTGCTGTGGTTCGATTGGTACCAGTTCCCAGGGTGAATTAATATCAATTTTTAAATGTGGATATTGTGGTGGCATATCGACTTTAGCGTGATCATATGATGGTAAAGAAATTTGTGAATTATTTAATGATGGAATAGAGCTCGTTGAATTCAAGGAAATGTGTGCAGAAAATGGAATCGTTGGTGGTGATATTATTTCATCTTCTATGGAATAGGCTGGTGGTCGACTTGATGTTGATCGGATTGATCTTGTGTCTTCTGAATCATGTGCAGATAAAGTTGTGTTTTGCGGTGAAAGGGAAGTGAAATTTTGATGTTCATCTGGTATAGTTGGTATAGTTGGTATAGTTACAGATTCATTCATTTCAGTTAGAGTTTGTTGATTAATTAAAGTCATTATTTTATTGTTTTAATTGTTATAATATTTCTCGCGTTATTATACTGAAATTAATTTAATATATATATATATATATATATGAAAAAAAAAGGATTAAAGATTGTTCCAAATTTTGTAAGGTATTTTGTAAGGTAGTAACAGCTATTTATAAGCATTTCAATCATGAATCAAAAAGTGGTTCATAAGTAAACAATCACCAATCTCAAAAGGACAATGTGAATAAGTGAATAATCAATGATCAGTGCATTACTTATTATTTGTTTAGTCTCGGAGCAAATACTAATTAAATATTTAGTTAGTTAGTGTAACATAAAACAATATCTATACTAACTAAATACTTGCTAGATTAAATAGTATATATTATCGTAAACTTTATCACCAAAATTACCTATTATTTAAAATGGAAGGATATTATTGTTCTTTGGTTTCAACCCAAAATGGAATCAAATCTAAGTATCGGGTATGTTGTACTTTGGACAAATTAGTCGAAATGGTAAAGCAAATATCGGGTATATTGTCTATTATTAGTTCATCTGTGCAATATTTATTACTTTCATGAACAATGTAAAATTTGCGACGATGCAATCTTATTATTATTCTCCACTATATATTATATATATATATATATATATATATTATATATATATGTATATATTATATATATATATTATATATCTGATATATATGTCGTACGTCGGAACGAAATTATTGTAGATTTAGAATCTACTTAGGTTGGAATGGAATTCCAAATGTACGTAGTCAAAGTTGATACGAAATTTAAAAGCAACTTAAGTCGATTCTATATTTGGTACTATATATTGATAAAATTTAATAGCAAC